CAGTAGTTGCCTCCGGAGCAACCAAGGCAGTAGTTGCCTCCGGAGCAGTTGCCTTCGGAGGAGCAGCGACCGCAGCTTGGGCAGCATGCAAATACGTTGGTCCAATCATCGCCTGGTGGGCACTTCTAGAATGGGGTCGATATGCTCTCAAAGGTTATTTTGAGGATCTTTGTGCTGGTTTACAGGGAGAAAGCAGGAAGTTCGAGGACAAGGCCAAGGAGCTGAAGGATGCTTTGGACAAGCTGACGTCAATGATGGAGTGCACTGGTACCATGAGGCAGGTCTTCGACGAAATTGCTGTAGTGGCCGAGGAACTAGTCGGACAGACGAAAGCTGCAAAACTTGTGGAGGTGAGTGGTGACCTTGAGGCCTTGGGTGAGAAGGTGACCGAACTTGCCAGAGCAGCTGAGAAGGTCAATCCTGCATTTCTGGATTTGAGTGAAGCGATGAAGGATCTCTCCCACGTGCAGCTTGTTGCCGATGAGCCCATCAAACTTTGCGAGGCTGGCCCCTCAGGCGCCTTGCAAGCTTCGGAGCAGGCTGATGTTGTGCAGTCAACCACTGCTCCAACACATGGTTTCCAGGATTGGGCACTTGCTATGTCTAGTTTCAAGTTCCCAAAGAGTCAAAGTGTTGAATAGCTTCGATTCCCAACGAGGACTTGCTCTTCACTCTAATAGCATCCATAACAAAACAATGAAAAACAACATAAACATGCATGTTACAACAAACAAGCGAAGACATGTGAAATCACTTGAGTGTCTTCAACCGTTCCGTTTGACACAATGACCCACCAGGACACCAACTTACTTCAGCACAGTGATGAGTGCGAAGATGAAGTGTTCATAGATGATGGTTGGATCTTGGTGGAGCCTGGATCTCCTGAGGGCATTTTGCACGAGAATGAGGTTCTCCAACAAGACTGCGTGCCCATGGGAAGCTCCATGCTTGTGCCCATTGACCGCATTGCTCAACCTACACATGGTATCATCTTCGCCGCCGGTCCACAAGGCAATCAGATGTGTGAGATTATCCGACAGGAGCCGGCCAGGCGATCCATCGCACAGTTCTCAGTGGCGGATTGCGGCACTTTCCGACTCACAGGGGATCATGAGCTTAAGATTCGCCGTGGAGGAGTTTGGTCTGTCGTGCAGGCTCGTGAAGTCCAAGTGGGCGACTTTGTGACGACTCCGGAGGGTGAGAAGGAGGTCGTGCACAGGGGTGAGCCGAAGATCAGTACGGAGCCTGTTTGCAAGGTGAGCCTATGCAATCCTCCAGTGGAAAGAGCCGAAGTCTTCATCTTCACCAGCAGTGCTGATCGGGATCAGAAATCCTTTTCAGGGTTGGCCGTTTTGGGGAAAGACCCCAGAGATGAATTGTCCGATGTCACCAGTGGCACAATGCGCTCCGCTTCTTCCCCCCCCCCAGCTGGGAGCAGCCTTTGCCACTTCTGCTCCGTCAGAGGTGACCGAGACTCCTTCCGCATCTACCGGCCTGCCTTCCTGGGGCTCTCGCTTTCATCCAGCCAGCGGCACCTGCCCCAACATTTGCCGCAGGTTCCAGCGCGGCCGTTGCGACAAGGGGAGTGAGTGCCATTTCTGCCATGAAGAGCACAAGGAGTCGACGCGGGCTCCTCGTGGCCCACGGGCTGAGAGGAAGACTGAGACTGAGATAGACTGAGGCTTAATTCATTTAGCTCTCTTCCATGGTGCATTTCCTGTATAGACTCTAGACATCTCTAGACCGCCTCGGCTTTGGAACATAGCTTTCCTCCACAATTTGCCTTCTTGCTTGGCAGGAACGAGCGATGCTCGATGGCCACTGCCAAGCATGGAGGGTTTCCAATAGTTCTTGTGGGCCGTGATCATCACTTCAGGTATTGAATCACATACAAAGTGTCATAATTCTGTGTTTGTTTATGTCTTTTCTTGGAATATTTTGTTTGCTTGCAGTTGAATCTTAGGCCGTTGCTGGCCCATTTTATAAACTGTTGGAGATGTTGCGGAGGGGCTGGACGCCGATTCCACCGCCATGCAAAGAACTCCTTGCTGATGGCAATTTGCACTGATGCCTTCGGAGTTTTCGCATTGACTCTCCCTCCAACAAACATGGAAGTGGACAACCGGCAGTTGATTGAATGGCCTTTCCACGGGCACCATGCCATCCACTTCCATAAGGACGTTGCAGGGAGGGTAGGCGCATCTCAACATATTGACATCGTCTAGCTTGACAACTCCTGAAGGAGCCTCAAAGGTAGTCTTTGCTCACCGCCTGATGGAGGGGTTGACAGCACTCAGGTGGCATCTACACTGAAGCCGGTGGCTGGCCCAGACGCAGAGGTGCCGAGGTGGCTGCTTTTCTCGGACACGATCTGTTTGGGATTGCCATATATATATATATGACTCTCGAGCAATGGCCAAGGGGTGGTAACGTATGTTCTTCGCTCTTTCTCGGGCAGCGTGGAGTGTCTTCCGTGCGTGGAGTGTCTGACGTTGAGCTTCACAGGCCCTCCTAGCGCCTGTGTCTCCAATCACCCTCGAAAAGAGGGTATGTGGATCCATAGGGTAGTAAGAATGAGATCAAAGCCAGGATATGCTGCGCGTGTTTGCACACTATCGCAGAGTCCATGGATTGAAGGGAGGTTACGCGATAATAGCCGTGGGTGTTCGGTGAATATGGGACAAATGGTTGAAACCGCCTTGTCACAACGCAAGGACTCTCTTTGGAAAATAACAAGGTGAAGGCGTTCTGATCTGAAAAGTCAGCTGTTTGATTTCTTAAACTTTTGCAATTTTGAGATATTTTGAAAGCCCATGTGTTTGCATGACACGCTAGGCTTTGTGGAGTTTGCAAGGCAGATAAATTGACAGATCTATACAACACTTGGATAATATACATCGACGTTAAAAACTGATAGATTCGAGGTTGGGAATATATAGATTTTCCACAACATATCCACCCAGTGAGGCCTGCCCCACTTGCGGCAGGCGTCATGCTCCTTCGACGCCGGCTGTGGCATTTGGCACTTCCAGTCGCTCACTGAGCAATGCCATTTTCTGACATTGGTATTGGATTTAGACAAGCTGACAACCTTCCTACCAATCATGTCACATTATGTTCCAAGTTGAGGTCGTTGTTTTGATTGCTTGGCTCACTTGGCGCTTGGTTTGTTGGTCTCATTTTGGTTCAGGCTGGCGTGCGCCAAGTGTCCGTGGCGAGGCAAGTGAAGAAGCCTGACACCTAGCGAGCATAGTGCCTCCAGGCAAGCTGAGAATCAGAAGTGACACCCTACTTTTGGGGGAACGTTTTTAATCCCGTCCCTACGCCAACTATAACTGTATAATATAATAAGTGGAATTGAGAAAGCATGCAACAGCACAGGCACTGAAATGAAGACCTCGATGGCACAGGCTGATTTCCCAGTGTTGGCATGTTTGTGAGCTTTTGTTTGCTACTTGGGTTGCATTCTTTTGGGGGCCAATGATGGCGAATGGGCCAATGAGTCATAACAATTTACTCAACACCTCCGGGCGAGGAAGCTTGGGGAGCCGTGTCCTTTTCAAGGTGCAATTACTGTGTGCTTTTGCTGTGCGTGTGCATTTGCGCGTGTGTGAGGATTGATGTTCACACAAGTTCATGTGTTCATATCCCAGATACTCCATGTATGTCATATTTATACATATATTTACCTATACATTGTTGTGGTTTCCAGGGTGTATGTGCCAGTCCCATGGAGTGTTTGGCTATTTGTGCCATTCATCGTGGCGCCCGGGATCGGACGCGTCGCTCGCCCAGGCTGCGCCTGCGCGGTGTCGTGAAGAAGGCCTTCGAAGAGTCACCGCCACCGCGCTTGACGTCGAAGGCGGCGTTCGAACCGGGGGGCAGGGTTTTGGAGGGCAAGAAGCACACTGAGACCTTTATACTGGACAGTATGGTGTCTATTGATGTTTTTTTGGGTGCAGCCAACTATACCCCCCCAAAAAAAAGTGGATCCAGAGATGTTTTTCTTTGAAGAGTCGACTTTAGACTCTAGACATAAACTATTCTTCTTGTCTTTTCGGTAGCAGACGCGGCCTGGGACTTTTGTGCAGATAGTGATTCATATCATAGATACGTATAGATACGTCTTCATCCAGGACCATTCTGTTTGGAGTGCCCAGCCCACGGGGATACACCCAGGTCCAGGTCCCGGTCGCTGGTCCCGGTTCGCATCCACCAGGCCCTCCAAGTCTATGTGAAGGCACGCCCGGCCGCGCGCAGCACATCAGATCCCACGTCGGCAGTCGAGGTTTCTGGGGTGTGGACGGTACGTTTGTCATGTTTCAGTGTTCAAGCACGAGCTGGGCACAGTTCGAAACCAGCCTTTCACATGCTACCTACATGGTGAAACATGCTGAAACGGTTTTGTTGCACCTGGCGCAGGACCTGAAGCGCCATGGAGGGCAAAAAGCTGAAGAGATCCTTCAACAAAAGGCTCGAAAGGAGCTAAGTCCACGGCGTAATCCATGCAAGACGTTGGGCCATCATCGGGGGTTCAGCTTGATTGAATTCCTGCGCTAGCGCGGCAAGGCTTTCTCCTCTAGAATTTAGCCTAGCACTTTCAGATACATCGCCTCTTGGGGAGGGGCTACTACTGTGTTCGTGTTCTTTGTGGATCTGTCGACACCATTTGCAGTGTAAGGCTTTGCCAATCGGACCCTCCTCGGCCACGTCCACACGATCGACAGGACCCCTTCGCGCTCACCTCCGAGGAAAAGACGGAGCTGTTGGTGCCCGGTACCAAGCGAATAGGTGGCCCACAGTGACTGAAGAAGCATCAATGCCCCTTCAAGATGAATGCTAATTGGATGGGGCGCAGGATGTTGTCAGAACACTTGGGCACAAGACAAACAGCCTAAAAAAGCGGGCGTGCGTTTAAGTCGTTCGCCAAATTAAGTGCTGGATTGAGGGGCTTGGGGCCATTGACTCAAAATCCACTTCTTCGGTCGATTGCGCCCGTGAAGGTGGGTCCAGTGTCATAGAAAGAGTCACTGCACCAGGGTCTTCAGTTCGTGACCTTTATGAAATGACTGGGGCAAGCGAGGGACTAACCAAGGCACCACTAGCACCTGAAGGATCCTGAAGGTGCTTTGTAGGGAGCGGGCTGAAGCATGAACCACCAAACCGCTGGTTCATGTATCAACTTGTGCAAATTGCAACTGAGAGAATGCTGGAGTTTTTACTGAGCAAAATAAGCATCACTGGCATCACATAATTACATGATTGGAACAGTATTGTTATGTACAAAGTGAGTGAGAAGAGGAGCAAGAGAATGAGCCCACACAACGAAGCAACGCCAAACCAGGCGAACATCAAAGTCATGAAGACACACGGTCAGTGGCAGGGGTGCAGTGTGATGTAGTGGTGTTGGGAGCGTTGTGATGTGGAGATGTTGGCATGTCCAGCAACCCCAGCTCACCCACAGTTGCAGGTTTCGCGGGTCTATTGACCCATGTCTTGTTAATGCCATTATAACAATACTTTTGCTGGTCACACGTGCAGTCTTACTAGTTGATCAAAATGGATGAAAATGGTGGTACTTATATAGTTGTGCCAGTAAGCAGAGGCATCTCTTCTGATCAATTGTTTCCTTATAAAATACCCTTCGACTTTCCAACATGGTAATAGGAAAAAACCACCATTGTTTAAAAGCACATGTCCTTCCAGGGGTCCAGCTGCTTCGGACACCTCCAGCTGGGTTCCAGCGCACGCTGAGCCGAGCCGAGCTGAGGCGTTACTTGCCCGAACAGGCGGATGCCTCGCAGCAGCTCCGCAAGAACTGCCCGGGGCCCCTGCAGAGGATGCGCCTGCGCGGAGAAGTGTGCTTTGGTGAAGATTCATGTGAGACTGGGTGGAAGGAGGTTTCTTTTTTTTCAATACCAGGAGTCACATGTCCGGGTGGGCGTGAGTGGATGTTCTGGGCACCGCACCACGACATGGAACTGCTAGTAGTTCTTTCAACCGTGCCACCTTGTGAGGGGGGACCAAGTGTTTTTTTGTTGCGTTCAGCTGCGGATGTCGCAATGTTATGATGAGGCTGGTCGCCGTGACCAGGCCCAAGTGCTGTTTGCTGCAGCGCGTCCTGGTTCCAGAATGGAGTGAGCGGTTGCCAGCGTCACCTTTAAGGAAAAGAAGAACACAAGTCCACGAATTGTGTGTTTTCTTTTTTGTTTTGGCTTTCCGTTTACGCAAGCTGAGCACGTCAGTCTCCAATAGTCTCCACGCAGTTCCTCCAGCAACCTCCTGCCCAGACCACGACCACAACCGCCCAGCCACCGGCCCCCCCCATGTCGGTGGCTGCCACTCGTCGCTTGCAACGGGAATTGCGGCTGGTGCATCGAGAACCTAGCTGGGGAGTCTCAGCAGCGCCACTGGAGGAGGACCCCGGCTGATGGGCGGTGGGCGGAGCTCAAGAATCCCGGAGATTTGTAATGAAAGCTGCTGATGAAGAAAGCCTCCTTCCTGGAGATGGGCAAAGATGTTAATACGGGGGGACTTGGTTTATATATGTTAATTTATATAACAGTCGACAGTAGGATCAATCCTGAATCAATAAAACCTAGTCCAGGGTCTAGTCTGGCCGTGATTTACACACTTTTATTTTATTGTTTTTTGCTCTTGGCACTCAGTCAACAAGCGACGATCAAGACCCGACAGCTGAGATCCTGACCACTACACATGTTTTAAGTAAAACATGTTGATAAATTCAACCAGGAATTTATTTCGAAGACGATGCGCACCACACCGACATGCTCAGACCTTCAAGCTATTGAGATATATAATATAACATAGGAGTTGGCAAATATCCGCTAGCCCACACTCTCCATAGACGTTGGTTTGACATCTTCTTACATTCATCATTTAGATTCATGTTTTTTACATCCTTGTGGATCTTTGCCGCTGTGAGTCAGAATCAGGCAGCCGAGACTGTGTTCCACAGCCCATACCCATGCTGCACTGGTGGCCTGACGCACACACACAGAGATACCAATACCCAGCGTTCCAGGATTTGTACACGTGGCATTGCAATGTCGCTGGACAACCACCGTCAGGTGGCCCACCCGTCATTCTGCACCTGGAGCTCACATTCGGTGCTGAAGCTTGGCTTTTCAAGCTGAAGAATTGCGAATTCAGGCAAAGGTGCAGGAAGTAAGGGCAGCCTTCCAGTGGCATCGTACATAAAAAACAATCGATGCACTAGTCCCATTGTACAAGTTGGACCTTATCAGACTACAAGTCTTGCAGATAATGCAAGTTGTGATACCTACATCTTCCCAACTGAGTTGGGTCGATACTACCGTTTGATCCGTCAAAAGGCACCTCCAAAAGGCGGAACTGTCCTTGGGTCGTTGCTAAGGACTATCCCGTGCGGCCCCCGCGGGTGGAGGTGCTTGGAAGCACCGTAACGCATCCGAATGTCTTCTCCACCTTTATTTGCTTAGATATGCTTGAGGGAGGGGAATGGGCTGCTGATGAGGAGAAGCTTGGTGTGAGAGTTCGAAGCATTTTTCAGAGTTTTGAAGAGCTACTTCTATAAGTGGCCAGGCTCTGTGACTTTCCAGTGAACAGTGAAAGAACCAGCAGTAAATCACCACCAACCAAAAATAGACAACTCATGGCCCATGGCTGCTTGGGTTCTTCCCGCTTTCGCCAATTTGGGTTTTCCTAACCCCATCTGGTGCGATTCAAGGAAGCGGCGACCTTACATGGGCTGGAGCAGTGCGTATAGCATCTTAGCCATTCTTCGGCAGCTGCAGACCTTCTTCTTCGAAGGTGATGGCACTCAATGGTGGAAGTGTCCACGCTGCACACTTCACAACCCCATGAAGAGCAAGCGATGTGAAGCCTGCGACCACGGACGTGGAACGCTTAAAGTCACTTGGAGCAGGGCAGGGATCGCACTCTACGCGCTGCGGGATGCGTGGGGAGGGATCCTTTGTGTGACGCATGTTGTGCAAAAGCAGCTGGATGCTGGCAGTTTTGGGGGCAGTCAAGCTTCACAGCGATTTGCTCCACTGAAAGTGGCCTCCCCCTGCCAAAAAACATGCACTTGATTCTAGAACCTTTCAGAAACCCACCCCAGACGCCCAGCCGCAGCGCTATAGCCCTTGCCTTGCTCCTACCTCGATGCATGGTCCCTTCTGGCCTCCGCCGTTCGGGGGTCTGAAGGCCATTGGCATCGAAGTGGAGCACATGGTGGGCTTCGAGTGCCGATGTGGACATCGTCATGGCGGAGCTCAATGGCCTCCATTTCCCCAGAGCGTGGAGTGTGATGACGCCCCCGTGGCTGCTGTGTTGCCGGAGGTTCGGGAGGGAGGTAGAGTTGGCTGCAGCTAGTGGCTAGAGTAGGCTTGGTAGTGGGACCTGGTGTGAGGGTTGACATAAGAGGCGATTCTAGCAAGATGGGGCATAGAGTGAGTGAGATGTGGGCAGGCTTCTCGGAAATTCATTCTGGGTCCAGTACTGGGGAACTTCTTGGGCAAGTCCAGCAAAGAATGAGATGTTAAGTAGAAAAAAAACACTGAAGATCTGAAGATTGGGTGCCTCCTTCACCTCCTTCACCTCCACCCATCCATGTCCTTTTTGAGATGACCCCCGCTGCTGCCGACTCTGCTCCGACCCAACGTGGCACCCGCCGTACCCCACCGCGACCCGGACGACGTCTGTGGGTTGGAGGCCTGTGCGGAGAGCTCCTGCGTGATCTGCCTGGGGCACTTGGACGACGAAGCGCGTGGCGCGCTGAAGGGTGCACCGGCCGCCCGGCCCTTGGCACAGCTGGTGGATGCACGAGGGCAGCCTCTTGGAGAAACGAAGAAAGCTAGGTGAAGCGACCTTAATCGACCTATGCAAGAGAAAGGTGACCCAGAGAAAGGGGGGTGGTGGCTAAAATGGGGGTGGTGGTGACCCAGAGAAAGGTGAAAGTGCAAGAGAGGTCCAGTTGGAAGACTTGAATTTCCTCTTCCGTTTTGACTTCAACTTCAGTTTTTGACGGTGCATATATTGGACTTTTGACTGTCGGCTCCCGGCCCACTGAGAGCTGAAAAGGGCACACAAATTCTCAAAAGAAGAGATGGGCATGGGTCCGGTACATTCTGCAGCTGTGTTGTTGCAGCTTGTGCTTGTGCTGCACTCCTAGACAAGCTTCAAACTGAAGAGATTACTATATATTACTATATATGTACTACACTACAAACCAGATCAATCCCGTTTTTGCAGGTCTTGCTTTGTTATATTTGCACCGAATGTGCCTTGAGGGTGGTGTGCAAGCATTTCTTCCACCTGCCCTGCGCCAAGCAGTTGCAGTCGCGGTTTTGCCCTTTGTGCCGCACAGCCTTCCGAGAAGTTGCTGCCTTGTCGGAAGCTTGCATTATGGTGGCTGGCTAGGATTTCGGCATACCTAAAAACGGCATAAAAAGGCAATGCCCCATGTTTTGTCGCTTTTTTGGGGGGACGACTTGCAATGTCACTATATTCATCTATATTCCAGCATGACCCCCCAAGGGACTTGTTGCTCTTTGAGGTTTTTGCGGCCTGGCCGCCACCTTGGGCTACCTCAGTAGCTCATCAAAAGCCAAGCCTTTGACACACTCTAGCAGGCACTACTGGACATTCCCACACGCCAAATAGAAAAGAAAGCAGATTGTGTACTTCCTTGGACATGGTGACGGTCCCACCAGTCGATGTCCCACATCTAAACTAGGCTATTTGGTTGTTGATGCTCACCCTCAAGGGGCCGCATGGGGCCTGAAAACCCGCCAATGTTCCATGATTGGTTGTTTGGGCCGTGGTGGGTGCGGTGTGTCGCATGCACAACATGCAGCAAGGACACCCCTGTGATCCAGAGAAGCCGGGCCAGCTATAGCAGTGAGCCACTTTGCAAAGAGGCACTTGTGAGCATGGCACGCTTGGCCAGCTGGCCGTTGGGTGTGGTCATTCAAATGTGCCTCGGCTTCAGGTGCCGCATGTTTTAAGAGACTGGCGTGGAAGTACCGCTCCGGAAGTGGAGCAAACATGACCAAGCCTACTTTCAAAAATGATCCAGCTCCATCACCAAGTTGATATGCGGGCCTTTTCGAACTTCTTTAAAATATAAGATTCTTAACAACGTTTAAGACCAAGAGGCCACGCCAAGCGCACTGTCCAGAAACAAACACATCCGTGCACCAGGCACCAGGCAACGCCCCACAACGCCGCCGAGGATGTCCTTCCTGCTGCGACGGGAGCGCGTGGGCGTGGCCTTCGCCGTGCCAGCCTGGAAGGAAGCGGCTCAAGCGCCGGTCTTTTGGGAAGCGCAAGAAGTGCAGTGCTTCCATGAAAAGACTGGGCCACTTGGGATATTGATGATATTGAGTGGATTCAGCATTTTGGGGGGGGTGTTTTCTCATCGTGGTCATTGGATTTAAAGTGAGGCTCCGGGTTGTTCGGACTTAATTAGGGGCAGATCTATATGTCACATGGAGTCATTTTTGGCAAACTGTGTGTGTAAATGGTGCAACCACGCTTAAGGACACAGTTCGCAAGCAAGCTCATGCACCAGCCCCATTTTACTCCCAGAAGCAGCATGACTTTCATGAGACGATAGCTTAACAACCATCAGAAAGGCATAGCAAGGCTACCAGAGACTTCCACCTTTGTGTGCAACACGATGGGACCTCTCCTCCATCAACGACGCATCCCTGAAATCGAGCCGGTACCTTCCACGGCGCGTTTCGGCTGGTTGGCCGCCTTCGAGGCCGGACGAGGACGTCATCGGCATCGGCGTCCTGGCCCAGGGCCGCGGCCGCTTGGCGACGTTGACGGCACACTTCGATGCGATCTCGCGGACGGCCTGGCAGGGAGGCTTGCGCAAGGCTGCATGGAAGGAGCCGCAGGGGGCTGCATGGAAGGATCTCAGGGTATTGACAGAATAGATGTGATGCGCTACATTGACCTCCTATTCAAAAGAATCACAAGCCCAATGTACCCAAATCATCCATGTATAGTTAAATATGCACAATGACGACTGAAATCACCCAAATGTAGGCCATATTGGTCTATAGCTGTACATAGAGCGTTCGGGGCTTTGCCGGCAGGGAGGTCCAGGCACCGTTTTTCAAAGCCAGATGGATCCGGAGGGTTTGGAAGTGGTGGACTGTGTTCATTACTAGCGGTGCCATGTTTGAGCGGTGCCATGACTAGTAGCCGTCGGTAAAAGACTTGACATATTATGTCACTATACTATATAAAGGGACAAGGTCTTTACTCACCATCATCACCCACATGGGAAATTAACGGGAATATGAGATTCCCAAACACCATCCCTGGTATTATCCACATTTCATACTCATAGTTTAACCGTCGTATATCGTCGTCATTCATCATCCGAATCCACTTTGCCCATGTCTTTCCACTTGTAGGCCGGAGTGGGCCAGTCTCTGCGCTCTGCCGCACAGGCACCACGGCGTAGGATCCGAAGCACCGCCCAACCGTCCAGGAGCCCTTAAGCCACTGGTTGCCTCTCTTCATCCACCAGCACCACGCCGACACGGCCGCGTCGCTGCTGACGGAGTGCCTCCACGTGTTGGCCGAAGCCTCCGCGCAGCAGGAGGACATGGCGCGCCCTGTCTGGGGCAGGGAAGGGAGTAGAAAGGAAGCGGATGAATTGCATTGGCAGTGCATCTAGCTCTTACTTAGTAGTCAGCAGCTGGCTTACTGCCAACCATACCTAAATTACATAACTATGCAACACCGTTTGGGGGCTTGACTCATCAAACGCCAGGTCCGGCCGACATTTATGAGCATCTATGAGCCATTGGCGTTGCTCGGAATCGCCACGAGACGTCGGGAGCCTCGCAGGACTCGCACATTCCGCCGCTGATCTTCCAGGCGTTGCAGAACCGCAGAGTCCAGGCGGTGGATGCCATCGTGGCCTTTCCGGAGATGATGCATCAGCTCTTGAAGCAGGTCGCAGCTTTAAACAAAAACTCACGGAACTCAGCAGCACCACCCTGGAAATCACATCATCATAGGGGCTTCTATAAACCACGCTGTGGGTGGTGCGGGTGCAGATGTCTTCTTTGTTGGGTGCTGCCGTGCTGCGTGAATCAGATTGAGCCGGTGAAAGATTTCGTTGGGCAGGGCAGGTTTTTGGATTCCAATTGATTTGCGCCACTGTGGCTTCAGGTGCTTTATGGAGATCGACATGCTTCTTTGAAGCTATTGAAGGGCTACTTTGTGATGCACAGATTGTTCTTGCATTGTTGTGGCCTGGTATTGGATTAAATGAGTTGATGTTATTGTTGCTTTGCGTCCTACCCCTGCTACATCATCTAGGCCTAAGCCGGGCTTTTTCCGGATCCCCAGAGCCCCCCCACAATGTTTGCTACCCTCCCACAAACTAACCTGAACCCTGAAAATCACTGGTTGATACAGTGTATGAAAACATCCCTCCAGGAGGCCATGGCGAACCACTAACAGGGTCCATGTTAGTTCACTCGGGTCAGTCTGACTAGCCAAAATCCAAGGCGATCAGTGGCCCGAGATCCGTGTCGCCGCGGATATGGCTCTGAAACAATTCATCTCCTCGCCTGAAGGTCGCACCAAACAGGCGACGCCATGGCTCGCCTACATCTTGCAACTACTCACCGTGTCCAACGTCGGTGGCTCGCCGAGTGTTTTTTTGTGTTTGAGGGGTTTGAGGGTTTGGCAAATATTCCGCACATGGAGCGTTTGGGTTCTGATTGGCTTACCTTATGTTACTGTGGCTGGATACTCAGAATATGTGATGGTGAAGATGATTCGGTGCAGGTGTTTCATGTTTTTTTCTGCACATCTAGCGTCCTGGTGAGTTCCAGGTTGGGAAGAGGTGAAGGAAGCGTTCCTGCAAGAAGCCCTGGCTCGCGAAGTGCAGTTCATTTTGCCACGATATCCGAGCTATTGTCCGAGCAGACCGGGTGAAAGCGGAGAAGACCAGGTGGAGGAGTCAAGCAAGATGACCAGCGAGTGGAGCTTGGGCCGGATAGTAGACTTTTTGAAGGATTTTGCTTTACTTGATGTTGCAAGATCAATCCTTCAACCTGTTGCCATACTTTTATATAGACATGTAGAATCAACCAGATTCTTTGCAGGAGCTGCACTCCCTGAAAAGAATCATGGAAGTGGAGTTCACCACCTTTTGGTTGGATTTCATGGTCTTGCAACATCGGGAACATGCTATCCACGTAGCCATAACTTGTTCAAGAAGTGTAGACATGATGTTTTCAAGGTCAATCCATCAACCCGTTCCTAAAGTACCTTCTCAGCAGGTGAAGACGGAGACACCGCTATGTAGGTTTGGAGGGTCCAAGTACCTTCTGAGAAAGTACTTGGATCCCTAGGGAGATATAAAGTACCAGTCGCAAAATTGCGATAGGAAACAACCCTACAATCACATACAATCACCACCTCCCGGCAGAACCCCACTTACAGCACAGACTTTGAGATGTTCGAGCTTTCTTCTTTTCGGTGAGATTTGTTGGATGCAACACAAATGCAACATTGTACTGGAATGTCAGACTTTTTCAGTGAATCTCACCTTGAAATGCCCAGACACTTCGATCTTCCTTTCCCCGTCCCCCACCGCCCAGCAGCTGCTCACCCCGCCGCCCAGGAGCATCGTCGCCTCCATGCTGGGCTCCGACCGTGCGGGCGGCGGCGACGCCGAGCAGTTGACGCCCGAGGCCTTCCGAGGAGCTCGGCGCGGATGGACGTGCATCGCAGGCGCGGTGCGGAGAGGCAGGACGGGAGGGAAAAGCACGGGAGAGAGAGATTGGATGAGACTGGAGAAAGAGAGGGCAATGATAACATCAAGGAAGGAGCCCCTTTTGATTTTGCTCGTCCAGATGCTTTGTCCAATCATGTGTGATTTGTCCATCCCAGTGTCAGAGCTGTTCGCATCCACAGGTTCCAGCGCCTTTTCCGTGCACATCCGCTCGATGCCGGCCGACAGCGTGATCCGCATCGGATGGATCCGCGCGGAGGGAGGCTTTGAGGATGGCTGGGGCTTCCATGCCTCCGAGTGCTACGGCCGGGTCCTAAGCTTGGACGTTTGGTCGAAAGGTGGGGGAGCAATCCCTATAGGGATCCAGCCCGTACCTTCTCAGAAGGTACTTGGAGCTTGCAAACCTACATAACAGTGTCTCCGTCCTCACCTTCTGAGAAGGTACGACTGGATCCCTAGCTAGGGAATGATAACCTTAAGTGTCATTGGATTTGTTGACAGGACATTGAAGGCATGACATCCTGTGCTGGTTAAAGTACTCCAAGTCGTCTTAAGATTGCCAACCATTTCTGAGATCGAACATGTTGGAACCAGAGATCACACCATGTTCACCTAGACATGGTTGCTTCCAGTGGTGGAAGATCAACCGGTGGACCAAGGGACGGCTTGTGGCTGGAAAGCTCATGAAGGTCGATGGCAGCGCTATGGAACATTCTTCCAAGAGGGTGACACCATCACAGCGATGGTGCAGAATGGATCGATGAGCTTCCTGAAGAATGGCCGTAACTTAGGTCCGGGGGTCAGAGGTTCTTTTGGGGCAGGTGGATGGCAAACTCCAAAAGGGTATGTGAATTTGAAAGTTCCTATGCCTTATATAGACGGCATGTTGTTTTTTTACCAGTGAGGTGAGAGAACCGGAAGCTTCTGGGTGTGAACCTTTGAGCAAAACAATGGACGTCAAACATTCAGACACCTCGACTGCCCCTCCAATCCCTGATCGACTGGACCGTTCAGGTAGAAAGGCCCGGTCAAATTGCACGATATTTACTGGCGCCTCAGTCCACTCTTCTTGACACATGTTTTCCTCTCAACGGAGCCATGATTGTTGGATGGAGCTCTTCCCGAGAAATTCCTCCAAATTTGATATGACCACCCCATACCCTTCCAACCTCACCTCAAAAAAGAGAAGTGATTCTTTCCCTAACCCCAACTCACCAAAAAAGTGATTTTACCCCAAACTCTCCACCTTATTCCACTCCTTCCCTCCTCTCCTCTCCGTCTCGCAGGTGTGGCCTTCCACGTCCCGGTCACGGAGACTCTCCGCCCCGCTGTGGCTCTCCGCCGCCGCGCCGAGGTGCAGCTGGAGCTCGCGCCGTCCGCGCCGGCGGCGCTCGCGCCGGCGGAGACGGCGCTGCGCGCGCCGGAGACGCAGCGGGACGTGGCGTGGGATGCGAACCGGCGGGGCAATACGCTGATCATGTTCCAGGTGAGGAGGATGGGCCTGAGATGAAGAATCAGGAAGCATGTGAAGTAACATGGACAACTTGGAGAACTGGATTTGGTGGAGATGATTCATGAGAGTATATAAGAGGAACGGAAGCAACAGGTTTCAGCATCATTTTGGCAAGCATCAACATGTTTCCAATGTCATGTGTACAACCATGTATAACTGGTCGAACTGTGTCGGCATTTTGAGGGCACCACGGTCATCGTGACAGTCCTGCAGGTCTTTTTCCTGACCTTGGTGCGTCCAGCCGAGAGTCCTCCATATTGGTCTCGCGTGAAGGCAGAGTACGACAAACGCTATGGCTTCCCTGCGCCTGAGATGTCCGCAGCTCTCTTCGACATGTTCAGTGAAGTTCATAAGAGCCTCAGATGGATCTTTGAAAATCGTTCGAAAGGATGGCCTCCTAAGCCGTTCGAACTGTCACACCAGTTGGCCAAAAAAAAAAGCGCCCTGAACTTCGAAGGTTGGAAGTCGCCAACTGAACATTTAGGCCGAAAACCTAGATGAAATTGTAATATATAATCTGTTCTATGGCATTTAGACTGCAATATCTCGACCTCCCCAAAAAATAAGTCAATGGTCCGGTCTGGATCTTCTTCGTGAGGATCCGAGATCTGCCAGGGCATGTGGCCTGGCCGAAGTTCTTGAGCCTCCTGGGCTTCGAGGAACTGTGTATGGAGAAGCTGCAGCTGCTCCTGCGCGAAGCCTTCGACCGTGCCAAGGCCCAAGGCTACAAGCAGGGTGGCCGTCGAGACCACGCCTGACAAACGGCGCAAACGGCGCTTGGCGCAGGTGGACCGGAGGTTTGAAGCATTTGGAACCTAGCTGGTTGGAGATGTTGAGCAAGAAAGACTTGTGCATGCATTGTTTTGTTTAGTTTTCTGTTCTTTTTTTTGCAAGTGGATGGTCTGCGCTTTTAGATGCGCCCCGAATGTTTAGGCCTTTTTCTGTGATGGATCCTTTGTACAGTGTACAGTGTACAGCCAGATGTTTACAGGTTTTAGGGTCTTAGAATGTCTTAGAGCTGAGGGATTAATATTGCTATACTGTCAAGTTAGCGGGAAGAACAGTTGTGAAGCTGTGCTTCGGGCTACCTGCAAGCTTTGCAGGTTCATGCACCCACCACCACTATCAGCTTGGTAAATCACCAGTCTTTGCGAAGGCTGATTGAAGACGCAACTCCACCAGCCCTTCTACCGGATCGATTCATCCATCCGGTCAGTGCATGTGTCCATCCGCATCCCATCATGTTTTCTCCGACGAACCATGAAAATAGCCTTGGAGCAACTACCAAGTACCTAGCTCAGCCTACCAAGTACCTAATGTAGACTCTTGATTGTACTCTTGAATAAAACAATAACCCCATACAAATATGCTTTTGTTCAATCCAAATGGAGAGGGTTTATGAACCTCAAGAGTCTACCTTAGCTCAGCCTACCAACTACCCAACCTCCCTGAGGCCACAAGTGGCTTTGGCGCTTCTTGCGCCAGCGGGACTTCAAGCGCTTCGAAGCCATGCTGGAAGCCATGAGGGGTGACCCAGAGGGTGTCCATCCTCTGAGGTGGAAGGACCATGTTTGTCGTTGTTTCTTTTTCCAAGGGGAGGGTGTGAGGGTAATGTAGGCTCTTGATAAATAACCTTGTCTAGGGTAATGACGAGGTGTTGCATTCCAAGATAGTAGGGGGGTTATGTCCTTCATTCAAGAGTCTAAAGCATATGTTGCTTAGAGTCTTAGAGTAGTGTGTCCCATGACCTGTGCCAGTCGATAACAGACACTCACATTTGAGAAAGGCCATTACCAACCATTAACCTACCAGGTTGTTTTGGCTCCGGCTTTTTGGGGCTCTACAGCTGCATCACCTATGCTTCAGGCAGAATCGGGAGATCCTCTTTGATGAGGCCGGTGTTGCATACGTCCAACCTGGTCATTCACTCGCAGATGTGACCGCAGCGTGCCCGCTCACGAAGACAACTTTTGTTTGGAAACATGGTTGCAAAAGAGTGAAGCCATGGAAGACCAACGAAGACAGGATGAGCGATGCTGAGTGCCTTTTGGCATTTCTTTTGGACATCAATGCTTGAGCAACTCCCGCCATTTCGCAGTGCTCACTCGGTGCATGGAAAGCATTCTTTTTTTGGCACCACCTAAAGGTGCCGCATCTGCTAAACCTCGTCTGTGCGTTTCCTTGGCGACCAACCGCTTCTTGGGGACATCCAGTGACCTCCAGTGACATCCAGCAGCAGGTGACCTACAACTTTGCGATGTACGGCATTCTCCTTCATCCCCGGCAAGAGGACGAACTGGCTCGACAGGTGAGGTCGGTAGACCGAGACGAGACCGGCGGGGTGAGAGGTCGGCGAGACTGAGCTTGCTCGCTTTTTAGGCGTTTTGTTTGGGGCAGCTCCCCAAAGAGATAGTGACACGGTGTCCAATACATGTTCAGTGGGGGTTTAGTTTTCTATCTTATTTGGGGCTTGTTTCGATGCACCATCACAGACCAGCAAGGGATCTGAAAATAACCTATACAAGAGAATGGCATCTACAAAGCCATAGTTGCCCTCAGTCCGTTAGGGGTCTATATACCTAGCCTAGATCTTCCAACTATGTCAAATGTTTGCCTTCTGGCTGTTCTTTATGGACGAAAAGGCAAACCTTTGACCCAGTTGGAAGATCCAGGGTATGATGGTATGATATGGTATGCGTGTGTTTTTGTATATATTATATATATATATAAGTGTTCAGATGTGTTCAGTTGCTTGGTCCTCACTGGTGGGCCATCCCACGCCAACGCGGACGGGAGCGCCGAGCGCCGGAGCGGCACCTGGGAATCGGGCGCTGAGTGGGGAATCAAACTGCCCCCTGGCATCATGAATCTACGTTACTAAAAAAGCCCTTTTTTCTCAACCACCTGTCAAACCTGATCAGCCAAACATTGCCAGACTTACCTCGGTCGTGAGAAAGAGTATGACATCCTGGACCCGAGAAAATCGGACATGACTCATGACCCTTTTGTCGTGGATTGAGAGGACCAATGGCACAGACCCCAACGTCGGTGGAGGTGGTTTATATGGACCCCCATTTGTTCAGGACATCATGGGGGAAACGTGCCATCTACTCTGGGACCACTGTACCAAGCGTGTGTTCCAACCTCATATACCAAAGCCCGGAAGTGACACTCTCTGAGAGAATCATGGAAGTGGAAACATGGCTCAGCTCAGCCTAGGAGGCTCCACAAGCACACACACATGTTTGATGTATACTCTGACTGACTCGCTTAGCATGGAAGTGGATGGCAAAGGAGGACCATGAAATCCAACGACCAAACGGTGCCATCCACGTCACCGGAACGTTTTCCTCGGAGTGGCGAGCGCCTGACTTCTGGGCCATGCCAGGCCTTCTTAGACATGGAAGAGGATGGGCGTTTCCATCCGGCCTTGCTGCGACTACACCGAGGTGGGGCGTTGGTTCGTTTTGGCCCAATTCTCCAGCCTTTCGAGGGTGAAGATTTCCACTACGAAGGTGCATGTTCCTGTGGGCTTTCCTGCTGATCATAGTCCTGGGTTTGTTAAGTGATTTTTTTCGTGCCACACATAGGCCACCTGCTCTTCAAGCTTGTTTCACAGCATTTGAGTTACATGCACCTTTCTATCCAAGACCCCCCGCATTCGTTGCAGCAAGAGGAGGAGAGAAGTGGCTCCCATCCCCCACCACCTGGGTGGAGGTGATGTGTAACAGCATTCGGCTTTCCAGGCTTGATCAACAGGGTTGGAGAAGGGCATGCAGTGGAACCCCCGTATCCGGAAGGTTGGTGCCTTCTAGGCCTTGCATGTTACTTATATAGTCGTTTGACTCTCAGCTTCACCAGTTGAGTGAACAAGTTCATTTTGGGCCAGGTTGCATTTTCTCGCCGAAAGCCCGACTGGGTAGTGAAAGTTATGTTGCAACCATGAATGTTTGGGTCTTGAAAAAGGTGGTGAATCTTTGGGCATGTCTTTTTCCTTGGTATGATTGCGGTCCTCACCTTGTTGTTCTCAATATGTTTTTTAATGATTGACTCCCACAGGCCCCCACAGGTTGTCATATTCTCCGTTGACCGCCTGACCAGCCTGACCAGCCAGGCTTTCTGGAGTCCTACTTCGAGCTAAAAGAGGTGGACGCCACGCCCAATCCAATGAACCTGCTGAAGGTTGGCAGAATGCGAGGGCAGACATCGGGTGCCCCGGAAAACGGGGGGGGGGGGTGCTAAGAGAATGGAACCGGACTGGAACATATGACTGAAAGCTGCGGGTCTCATTGTTGTTGTTGTTGTTGCTGCTGTTTTTTGAAGCCACACCGAATGGTGGTACTTGTCCTTCATGCTTGGTGCTGCAACGAAGGAAGCTTCAGGCTTCTCAGTCTGGAAGGTTTCAAGCGATGTCTTGGCCTTTTTGTATGAGTTGGGTTTGTCCCACCTGGAACAGTCGGCAAACAATCACCTCCAACTGAATCATAATCATCATCAGCATCATCAACATCATCATCATCATCATCATCATCAACATCAACATCATCATCAACATCAACATCATCAACATCATCAACATCATCAACATCATCAACATCATCATCATCATCATCAACATCAACATCAACATCATCATCATCATCATCAACATCAACATCAACATCAACGCTTACTGGTAATGTGATAGATGGTGGCTGTGTATGTGTTGCCAGATCGCACCAACGGTGGTTTTCCAACTCAGAAGTTCTCCTACTATAGCTGCCTAGCTACTATTCGACCATACCCTATATAAGATCCAACGACTATTTCCTTTTAACCCCAACCGACCTCAGCGAAGGAAGGCTTCTGGAACATCAGGTCTTCACTCACTTGTGAGGCCTGACGCCCACACTCTTGTGAGGTCGGGATGAAAAACCAGGGTCAAACCACTCACTCTCGGATGGGCGTCTAAGAGGCAGCTGATAGGCCTCACAAGAACTGTCCGGCGGTCCCCAAGAACCAGGTCACACGAACCTTTTGGCAGATCTCCGTGAATTTCAAACGGCCCGGTGCCCGAGAAACCACGCCCTGCGTACATCGGCATGGGCGGGCCCCGATGGCCCGGAGACGAGAGTTCGCCCGTGAGCCTGCTTCCTGTTTAGAATGATGGCAATCACTTAAAGGGCCGCTAGGAATCGAATCGAAACACCGACATGTTTAACTGTAATGGTTCTTACTGTTCTCACTTCTGGCCGAAGAACCCTGTTTTTGATTTATATTACCCCTGGTCGTCGAAGACTATACAAAGAATAGTCTTTAGGTGACCCGAAAAAGGAATTTCCTGTACTTCAGTTGGTCAAAATATAGTCTTTGGACTTCTAGGGTTACTGTAAAGGGTAGTTGTAAGGGTCTTCGGCTACAAAACCAAGTCGGCCCTTTCGTTCATGGTCGGCAAGGAAACCCATTGGGGCCCTTGAATGGCTCTTCCACACCCATCTAATCCCAAAGAAGAGCTTCGCTCACCCCGATCGCTCTTGGGAACACATCGTCGAGGAAGCGCGTGAAGGAGACCCGCTTTCGGTTGGCCGCCAGGGGCGCCCAGCACAGATTTGAGCCAGTTAGATCTGAGAAGCCGAGAAGGACTGTGAAATGAGGGGGTATCCAGGCACAACTGAGGAAACTGGAAGATTTGACCAACATGTCTTCCATGGTTGGGACCACCACAACTTATAAGATATATCATACATGGAGTGTTTGGGCCATTGGGGCATTGTCAGGGTCTTCACAGACAGCTATGCAGTTGGTATAGATGAAAGACGGCTTGCAAGAGGAGAGTTCCAAGGTCTCAGTTTCGGCATGGTTTTTGCCCGCGGCCATCCAATCGAGCTCAGCTAGCAGCATTCAATGGGTGAAAGGCTGCCGCTGAGTAGGGAGGTTGTCTCGCACGTGGGGAAGAGGAATCTTGCGATGCCGTAACCTCCATGTCCTGGGGCAACAAAGGATGGTGACTTGGCCTGGCGACAGGGACAGGGAAACCATGGGAAACCCCAAATGGAAAAGGAGTGACCCACAGACCACAAAGAGCTAGGTAGCTAGTAATCAGGAAACCTGCTTACTAGACCACAGACCACAGAGCTACCCACAGACAGTCCCAGCTTCACCCCGCACATCTCGAGGTGGTAACAATCGGTCGACAGGCTCGACGAACCCAAGGCTCAGCTCCTGCCTTCACGCCATCAGCAAGAAGGTGAACAGCACGAGCTCGCAACACCGAAATTACTCGAAGCCCTATAGGGTACGTTATCCAAACATATCCAAACCTGCAGGCAAGGACACATTCGTTTATAACCTGCAGGTTCCCTTGTCCATGTCAAGTTGAACAGTCCCATGACTCCTGACCAACCTGCCGAAACCGGAGTTCCAGCCCCCAAGAAAACCAGACACCCGGAACAAACCCCAACAGTTCTGCCTCTTTTCGCAACAACTCCCATCCATCCACCCACCTCGTCGCATCGACTCATCTTCCAGGAACCGTGGCGTTCAGGCGCCCGTGGGCTCCAACCCCTTCGCCCCGGCCCCCGCGGGCGGAGGCGGCGGTCCCTGCGCCGGTCCGGGCGGCGGTCCGGGCGGCGAGGATGCGACGGGGCCGATGTTGAGTGGGAAGGGCCCGGAGCTTCAGAAAGCCGCTTGGAAGGCACAGCAGAGGTGGCTCCCAGTGAGTTGCTGGAAGGAGGGGGGGATTCGGATGTCATCATGATGATCAAGTGTTGGGTGAAAAAGGAACTGGAACGGGTCGAAGATTGGAATGGCATACCTGTAGGTTTCAGGACAACATTTGCTGAACGTTTGCCACCTTTTGCCCTCAGCTGTCGGCTTGTGAGTTCTACAATGATAGCCCCAGACCATCCATGTATGGAATATGCCTACATTGACCCCTCAAACCACCCCAATGTAGTTATATAGGCCAGTCCCATGGATGGTCTGGGTTTCTTTGACGCTCATCAAGCTTCAGCATCCAGGCTTTCAGATGGTTTCGTCGGACAAGGGTGTTTGATTCGATCTTATCCCAGACATGCGACTGGAATATATTCCTATATACCCCCCAAACCACGCAGTCCCATTGGTCCTGTTTAGGTATTCCATTGGAAAATTCCTGCCACAGTGCCGCAGACATTGATCACGTGCTTTTTGCAAGACTGGCTGTAGGACTCAGCGCTCTCAGAGGCACTTGATGACTACAAAACCCAGAGGATCCACATACCTTTTGTGAAGGTGATTGGAGACACCTTTATGTAGGCTTTGAGGGTCCAAATGCAATTTGAGGAGGTATTGGTGCCCCTAGGGACAATTTTTTTGGTTTTGATGTCCAACGGTTTTTGCAGGTCTACTACATGCCGCACAACATGGGCCACAATGATGGCGTCAATTGCATGGTCATGGCTGATAACAAGATTTTCTCTGGAGGCCGAGATGAAAACTTGTTCGTCTGGCGCGCTGAGAAGAGCCCCTCAGGGGAGATGCAGTTGGTACAGGACTGGGCGCCAGGGCTGGACCGCCGGATCGCTCCGGCCAAGAGCCGGCGAGTCTTCGGCGAAGACCGGGCAAGCCCGGGCAAGCCCTTCGCTCGCGGGCACCGCTGCCTGACACTCTGAGAAGTTGGGAGCTCTAGGGAGCTCTTGCCAATTCAGATCAGTGACCCATCTTGAACGCCAAAAGCATCACTTGGGGGTCTGTCCTAGGAAATCTGTAGCAGTCAGAACATCACTGTTGTCACTATTGTTGAACAAGGCCTGCAACTGAACATGTGTGATCTGTGCCATCGACCTTTGACACCGTCCGATCACTGCTCGCTTCGCACCCAGGTCCCGGACAGGTCGTGTCTGGGAAATCGAAGGCATCAACAAGTCCCAGACGCGACTAATGGGACTGCCATATATGCCGATCAGTTGGGGTGCTATTGGGGGTCAGTGGGGCGGCAGTCCTATTCCAGTCCCATGGAGTGTCTGGGAGTGTGACCCCTCCAGCAGTTCCAGCTGATTCGGCATGGTTTTCTTCGACGTGCCGGACGCGGTTTCCGAAGCCTCCGTGCGGAACCGGCGGCGAAGCCTCCACGGAACTGCTGGTTATGTAGACCCCCTGTCATACCCAGATGGAATATATATGCCCACATTGACCCCCAATACCACCCCAATGTAGGCATATATGGCATACATGGAGTGTTTGTCATAGATAGAAGTTCGCAGATCCCCCCGTAGAACCTGTCGGAAACCGCCGTATCCTCCTATACATTTGCGGATCACGGCATTGAACCTGCACAGACGAGTGGCACGACAAAGAAATGCGAACCCCAAATTCCCCAAAGAGCCAAATATAGTGATCCCCCAAAAAGATGATGATCATTTTGATGATCCAAATGTAGTGATCCCCAAAAAAGATGGTGATCATATGTGATCATTTTGATATAATGGCCCGTAGGATGTTTCCGGGAATCCACAGGCCTCAACGAGCTCCGGGGAAATTGATGGAGATCAGACGGGACATGAAACCCCTGCAGAGGACCCGCGTGGAACCCCAACACCCCGGCGGGTGGGTATTCAGAGATGGATCACAACCACGGGTCAATTCCCAGGTTCCAGGTTAGTCTGTCCGGCGGGGTACCCCTTGTGTGAAGCGCAGGTTTGAAAGGGGGTGATGTGATCGACATGCTGTGCATCTCCACGTGCTTTTTCCACCTCCTCGGCCTTTTTTTTTGCCCTGTGCTTCGCCAGGACTGTGCTCCAATCCACTTGGGCTCCAGCATCACTTCGCTATGCTATGAAGCTTCATCCACCTGGTTGTTTTGCGGCCTATGGAGCGGCACGATACGAGCTTTCTGCAAGCAGCCAGTCAAGGACGCCCCAGAAGCGAAAGTCGGCCGAATGTTCTGATGGTTTCTGATGGTCTATTGCCATGCAGTGAGGCAAGCGGTTTTGAAAATTGAATTGAAGGGACACTTGAACAGCACAACATAGCACAACAAACTGATATATAGATAGCACGCGTGGACTGGGCACGCTACTGATACTACCGCCCCCGTGGAGCTCTCCACAGAAGTTGCTCCCAAGTTCACCCGAAAGCACGTGCGTTGAAGAAAGTCCGTGAAGGGGTCTCCAGTTGGATCTGTCACGTAACAGGAAATGCCGGGACACCAAGAAGAGGGAAACCATCCAAACAACATGCATTCAGAAAGGGAGTGACAAGTCTTCGAATATTCGAACATGCAAAATCATGCAAAATCAACAGATATGTTCTTGGACGGCTTGGCCACCTCCCAAAACAGAAGTGTCAACCCTGAATTCAACACGGGGATTGCCCAAAGCACAGCGGGCTGCCCTGATGTTGTTGTTGTTGTTGCTGTTGTTTAAAAGCTTTTTAAAGCATCGACGTCCGGGTTCTTTTTCATTCTCGTCATCCCACTCCGGATTCAACAAAAAGACCCCAGTCCCAAAGACAAACTGCTATCGATGGATGTTATTTGGTTGCCAAGTTGTCCTCCACCCCAACTTCCGCCTCTCTCCTTAGGGGCGACCCATGAAAGCAACGCTCCCTGCTCCATCTCTCCACCTCTCCACCTCTCCCCACCACCTGACAGGAGGAGCAGCTCCTGGGCCACCGGCGCTCGGTGACCTGCTTGACGGTGCACAGCTCCGTGCTCATCTCCGGATCCAATGAGGGCACCGTCCGGCTGTGGACCTGCCCGGAGACCCGGTCGAGACGACCGACCCGACCGGTGGACGGTGGGAACCACGGAGGACGGGGACGGTGAGGAACGGAGTCTTCCGGTGGGACACGGTTGGAACATCGGGCTTCGAAGCTTGTAGGCTGACATCGAAGCTTGTGGGACTGCTTATCTGTGTGTTTGGTTGGGTGTGTGGCGGCCGGGTGGGGCTGCTCACCCCCCGAATTTGGAGAAGGGATTGGATGTCCCTTGGATTCGGGAAGCAAGGAAAGGAGCTGTAAGGAGTTTCCTTGTGCCATAAGATGTCAGCTGGATCAGCAGGTGTTGTCAGTGAGTGGAGCTTCGCCTTGAACCCCTTCCGAGACCTGTCTGACGGGCGGTGGGTATAGTTGGATGTGCCTCACAAAGACCAGATCAAACCAGAAACCCACACCAGCACCATGGAAAGGGTGGTGTATGGGCACTTAGATGACCTAGATGACCTAGATGTGTGCTTTCCCTCGATGACCTGGATGTGACATCCGGTTCCTGGGACCCAGCGCATTCGCACCACTGCTCCTCTTCGTCGCGACGTCGTGCCTCCGAAACGAAGGGCGAAACGAGGGGCTCGTCTCCTGGACCCGAACATGGCGCCCAAACACCAGTTACACCAGGAGGGTCCTATACACCAAACACCTTCATAGGGCTCCTATGAAGATACTTGGAGCTTTAGGGTGCACCATTTCTCCCTCACGTGACCACGCAGCAGCTCTCCCTCGAAGCTCCGTCGCACGCAGCTTTGCGGCCCAGGTCCCAATGGCAGTTTCCAGTGTCATGGCCAGCCACTGACGAACCCGTCAGGACCAGTGAATCTTCGACAGATTCAGCTTGCAGGTCGAGCATTTTGTACAGTAAAATGGAATGCAAACAGCTTGGGGGTAGCCCACATGACTAGGAAGAATAGGGAAGCTTGGGCATCGCCAGACATCGAGTGCCAGAGGCCTGAGGCCATTTTAACTTTCTGCCAACGGGGCAGAGTGTTTTGTAACTTCAGTAGTTGAACTACTCGAGGATGAGGTCATTGGTCACAAAGTTGATCTGTGGTTAGGGGCCATTAAGAGTGAACATGTCTTCAACACAACCGAGTAATGGCATGTTTGCTCTGACATGTTCTTCCGTGCTTCGTGCGTCCAACAAAACACACGTCGCTCGTTACGAGTCCAAACACACCAACGAACTCCGACGTGACGTCGTACGTTCCGCGGCCGAGGAACTGCTTGCGAGTCTTCAATGGCGCTCTGTGGGTGGGCGGGCAGCAAGGCATCACGTGCTTTGACCTGGAGTCCCTACAAGCGCGAGGAACCATTGCTTCTCAATATCCGGTCACAGGACCTACGGCCTTGGTGGGGAGTAGGGGTGGAAAAAGAGGGTGGAAAAAGAGGGTGTCTCTAATGTGGGCTGGATCCTTCGGTGTGACCTACCAGAAGTTGTTGCGCAAGCGTGTCCTTGTGGTGCGTCCATTGCATTTAAGGTTTGGCGTATGTTTCATACCTTTGAATGGAGATCATGTGACTCGCCGGCTACACCAGGCGATTTTGGTGTTTCATGGTATGAATTGGCCTTTTACTTTGCGATTTTTACAGGACATTTTCTGCCTATTTGGATCTCATCGAAAACCGAAAAATTGCCTTTGCCATATGACTTTCACTCACCCGAAGCTCAAATCCAACCTCAGGAAAAAAGAAGCTTGTGGCATCAAGCCTCTGTTCTTCGCTCTGTTGTGCGTTACCTAGAAAACTCCCTCCAGTGCGAGTTTTACCCCCGATATAAGAAGACCAATGCGAGCTCTTTGATACGACTGGGATACCACCGTAGTCTTGTAGGGGACATCTCTGCGCGTCCAAACATGCCTTTTGCTGATCTGCTGATTGCGAATTTGACATCCTATTCGTCCATGCCGACCCAATCGTATCCACTTAATGTGCGGGTGCTTCCGACACTCAAAGCTGCCGATGACCTTTGTCCCAATCCGCCTTACTCTGATATTCCGTACCGAAAGAGGCATAACCTCTATCAAAAGCTTAAGAAATGCCTTCGCTTGAAACATAATCTCGCTGATATTGATGTTCCGAATTAGATGCTTGCATATGTGGCTGGTGTAATTCATTTTTAACATGTCACCCATCCTCACTGTGTCTCACACCGGTGCGAGATTTTGGTGTGATACACTTTTCTTTGTGTACATGGTGATTTGTGTCGTACATACCTACTCTCTAGTACCCCACTTTTAGTGGAAGGGCGTGAGAGGCGAACCCTGGATCGCGAGTTGGTGTGGTGGGTCAGAGTCGTGTTTGTGAGGGGAGGGGGAGCTTTAGCCTGGTGAACTCGGACCCACGCACGTTGGACAAACAACTGTCATCCATGTTGAAGGCAACTATTCAGCTTATCAACTTCAATTGTTGTGAAATGTTCACTTTTGAATAACATGCCAACGTATATCAACTTATAGAAACAAGCACCAGACCACACATGTACAAATTCAAAGTCATAAGAACTGTTTGTTTGAAGGGGTGTGAGCTATGTAGTTGCATTGGTTTTCCAAAAAGCGCTCACAATTACATTAGTTTTGAACGGAGTGGCAAGGATGTTGATGGAAAACAGTGTTTGCCTTCGTTTGCCTTGTTGGGGAGTGTTGAGTGCGCCGGCTGTTTTGGATATTCTTTGTTGAATAATTTTCACTGTCAGATTGGTGGCCAAGAGTCTAAGTGCAAGTCTTTTGGCTTGGATGTGCTGGAACTTGCAAACGACTTTTTGTACCAAAGCTCCATCAGTATCCTGTCCATCTAACAAGCTATGCAGTAAACATGACTTGGCAGTGTGATTTTCCATGCTGGGTTGGATTTTGGGCCTCTGTATGCACTGGGAGGACTCCTCCAATTTCAGAACTTCATGATCGCGACCTTCCGCAATGGCGAGGTCAGTATTTATGATGCCTCAGGGGCACAGGCTGGTCGAGCGCTGGTGCATGTGATGTCGATTCCTTCGGCCGATGCCCTGCAACCAAACCTTCCGCTGGTGACCACCCCCCTTCAACAATCCCAAGCCACCCAGAAGGCACAGCCAGCTGCGCCGATATTTCCACAAGTGCAGTGGGCATTCTCAGTTTGTCACAGTTATAGCCGCTACTTCTACATTGGCCTTGCTAGATTGCTAGATGCCATGAATCATCAGGGAAGTTATCATGTGAAATGTCAAATCACTCTTGATTTGTCATGAGCTGAGGGAGGTCCATGTTTTCTTCAGGCTCAAATCGCTGTTCGACTATTTTAGGGGATTCACTGAATAAAAATCCTCACTTATGTTTTCGGATGACCCTGGATCCTGGCATTTCTCCTCGTGATCCTCCCTTCATCGGATCCTCCGCTGCAGATCTTCAACCGTCAGCCGATGGGGGAGCATACCTCGAACACCGCGTTGGAGCTGATGATGCACCCCACAGCCAACAAGCTCATGCTCTTGTGCGGCCAGACCTTGGGCTCCTTGCCGCCAACTGGCGCCAGCGGGGTCGGATGACGAACCGGAATCGCATGGAAGTGATTCCAATGGTTCCGAACCGAAGACTAATTACTTTCATTAGCGACTAGGACGGTGATTTTTCCACTTCCATGTGAGTGATTCGCAGTGTAGCTGGGTGGCCTTCCCTTTACCCAACCTCGATGTCTTTCAGTCGCGACGTCGCAGAACTACCGCGCTTCGTTCTGACGTGGATGAGGCCGTCAGGCGGGCAGTTTGGGCAACAGAATCCGGAGGGCTCGCGGCTTTCTCCGGGTTTCTCACGACATCCCTGGTCCCTGGGTCTGTGAGGGGCCTACAGAGAGTAGAGCCGACTCACAGGGCATGTGCGTGTGCGTGTGCTGAGGATATATCACCGCATATGACTTGCCCGAGTTCCGTCCACGAGGGAGCTTTTGCTGTAAAGATCGTTCAGATGTAAAGGCCATCGTGGACGCGCAGCCTGGAGGGAAGAAAGCGGACCTGGACCAGGGCCGGTGCCGAGGGGAGCGGAGGCAGATCTGGGAAATTGAGGAATGTCAAGGTGACAGATGTTTGAACATTGCGCGTTCCTACCTCACATTCCGTTGCAATCTGTTGGAGGTGTTTTTCTGAACTCCGACTTTGGTTTGCAAGTGTCCCACGATTTCCCAAGAACCACCAGATCTGCTAATGAGATCTGCCAAAAACTTCTAAGGCAGAGTGACGGAGTCTTTCTCACCGCCGGGCTTCACGGCGATATCATCATTTGGCGCTGGGGGGCCTCTGCTGGGCCCAGTGTCAGCCCCTTCGCACCGGGAGCGCCGGGAGCACCGGGCTGCGGCGGTTGCGGTGGCTGTGGCGGCTGCGGGATGGCGGCTAACGTCTTTGGAGCGCCGGGAGCGGGTGGTGGTATGATGATGTGAGGTGACACGAAAAAGGGGCTTTGGAGCTGTCCAAAGGGCGCTGCAGCGGTGGTCTTTACATTCATCGCAAGAATGATAAGTTTTGCGAGGAGAGGAGAGTGAGAAGGTTTTTCAGGAAGTTAAGGGTGTTCCGATGAGATTGTCATGGCCGAACACTTTCGCACGTTCTTCCTCATGTGTTGCTTATCCCACGCATGCTCTTAGCTTTCAAACGCCCAAGGCAGCTGCTTCACAGCAGCGTGCGGAGCTGGCCGGAAGCGGACAACTGATAGAGGACGGGGTGGGAAGTCCGCGACGTAACCGCGTCCTTAGGTCTCAAGCTGTGCGACCATGTGCAACCTGTTTTCGTTGTGAAGTCTTTTATATGCTGAATTGGTATGTCTATTATGTGTTTTATATTGGTGTGTCTGTGCGTGTGGCGTTGCATTGTGAGTTTGAAAGAGCTTTGCAACACATCACCCCGCTGCATTGTACGCAAGCTGAAGCAGCGCGCTGAAGCAGCGTGCCAACACATGTGGTCCATTGGCGCCAGACGAAGCAACCAGACCCCCGGCTCAACAGACGACCTGCAGCACTCTCAGCTGACGAGGCTCCCTCGCTGGAGCTGGAGGCGCCCCAGAGTCGGAGGGAGGGACGACTTCGACGAACCCGGGGGGCTGAATCAAGGCTTGATGAAAGAGTGTCAGCGAACGGTTCTACAGGGAATGAAAACATACCCAGGAACAGTGGATAATCCTTGTACTTTTTGGGGGGAGTGGTGGCACCCGACTAAACAAGAACAGGTAGAAAAAGGGTAACTATATATAGTGACTATAATAGTAACCTTCATTTTCCACGCAAACTGAGGGAGCCCAGGAAAGCTGCTGGGGACATCGTGGGTCGCAGAAGCTGCTTGACATCAACGGCGCGCTCCAGGTGGTACCATGTGCGTGGAGCGAGAGGGTAGGGGGCTTTCGCTTTCACTGAGAAGTCTAAGACCAAGTTTAAAATGGTCAGTGATCCGAGTCTAGGAATTTCCTTGTAAAAAGCATGAGAAGTGCTCCCTTGACCCGCTTTCCCCAACCAACAGTTGTGGAGCAAATCCACCTTCCAGCATCTTCCAGCAATCCATCGGATGGTACTATTCCGAGGGATCATTGTCCACTTCCAAGATTGACATGGAACCCCACTGGGTTGTAGAGGAAAATGGTCAAAACCACCGGCCGGTCGATTCTGAGGTTCCATGTGAGTTTTCAGGGAAGGAATAGGTTTAGGTTTTCCACATAAGTATCTGAAACATGTTCCTCCGACCCTATGTTTTCCTCATAAGTATAGTTAACTTCTGTAAACTTTCAGGCTCGGAAGGGCACCTCACGTCGGCCAGGACGACGACGAGCTGAGCGACGGAGAGTTCCAGAACCGCGTGAAGAGACCTCCTTGGCGACCGTCGGGGTGCCCAGGGGTCAGCTTTCGGATTCAGAAAAGAAGAGGATGGAAACACCTTGAGCCCGTCAATTCCGCTGCCTCCGGCGTTCCCTCAGGCGCCAATTGATGAATGTCTACAAGGGAAGTGGGGTGAGAAACTCAGCCGCTTCGTAGAAATGCCATGCGCAGCACCAATGAAACAGACATGGATGGTTACAATGGAATCCATCGATGCAGATCCGGAATCAGGTTCCGAATCGAAGGAAACATCGATGGAAGCATTAGTTACCAAAAAACAAATGAACATTAAGAACTTTTTAGATATTTAGCAATCTTATATACAATTGAGCCGCGTGTTTTTTTGCAAAGGATTAGGTTATACAAAAAGAACTGTTGAGCAGTTGCGGAGGCTGTCCTGCTTGGGGCGCAGGCGTCGTGTAACGCGAAAATAGGTCTGTTGCTGGGAGCCAGACAGTCTACGCAGTCTGTTCCACAATTCTATGCAGCAACTATGTCAGGAAGCGCAGGTGCTGGTCCAAATATGTCCAAATGCAGTACTGGCTATTACATTACATCACATGTGCTCATTCCATGGTTATCACTGTTAGGAGTTCATTGTCGTTTTACAGGTCGAAGTGCATGTGCTCCTATACTACTCTGCTCAATGGAGGGTGAGTGTCAAGTTAAACAACTACAAATAAAGCTTGTCTTTCCCGAAGACCTTTGAACAACATTTAAAGAAGTCTGAACCAGAAAACTCATGCTTTCATGAAACATGTGCCTGTACGCCAAACTGCCTACGCAAGTCTTTCAACAACGCCCCCTTTAGGCATTCACGCGCGTGCTGCTGCTGTTGCTGCTGCTGCTGCTGTTGCTGCCTCTTGCTTGCTGCTTGTTGTGTGTTGTTTGTGTGCTGCTGCTGCACCGCTTGTCTGCTGTTTTTGTGCTGCTTGGGTGTTGCTTCTGTGCAGCTTGTCCACCACTGCTGCTGGTGCTGCTGCTGCTATTGCTTGTGTGCTGCTGCATGCTATTTGATTGCTTAGACACCTAACAAAGAAAACCTCTCGCATGGGCATTTACATGGAAGGGGGACCTAGGCAGACATCCATATAGGTATAGATCCAATATAAAGGCCCCACCCGAAAGAGAATCAAATTAATTTAGAATATGGAAATCATAAATAATTCAATAAATCTATCCAATTATATTGGATATATATATATTAATATAAATGAAAAATATCAATAATTGATTTGATATGAAATATATTATATATTTAAATTATATATAGATTAATTATATATTTATATATAATAAATAATAAATATATATAAATATATTGATATATTTGAATATTCTAATTTGGCACCAATATTTGTAAGGTTTATTTTAAAATTAATTATGTATATCAAAAATAAAAGAATATATAATGAATTTTTATATGAATATTATTTTTTAGATATATTTGGAAGAAGAATTTATCGATTAGATTTTATATGGAAATATATAGAATCCGATTAAATATAAGAAATAAATAAATAAAGGGGTCGAAAATACTATATATTTTTTTAATATTAAATTATGTGGCAGGTCTTTAATTAAATATATTTTTGTTGTTGGACGTTAGGTTTGGGATAGAATGCATTAGTATTTGTCTTAGGATATATTTAGAATGTTTGCAGATTTTTGAAAAATGAGCTAATCGCGCGATAGCATTGCGTTAAATCCGCGCTAGCAATGATTGTTAGATTCCATTGTGGATCTTTCTAAGGCGGATTTATAATATATCTTTCGTTTGAAGCATGGTTTGAAATTCGGAGATTAATTGAAAATGGCACAATATTTATAATACCTCGTACAATTTGGCGCCATTATTAATTTGGTCAACTAGTTATGTATGCCAAAAATAAAGAATATATAATATAATGATTTTAAAATTATTTGAAAGGATATATATATATAGCATAATGATTTTAAATATATATAATTAATTAATAAATATTCATATTGATGAATTTATATAAAATTGTAGTATTAATATTATGATGCTTTATATATATATAAATTATATATTTTGAAATATATATTTAAAAGAATATTTTTTTTTTTTTTTTTTTTTTTTTTTTTCAAAATTGGATATATTTTCATGAATTTAGAGATATTTCGTATAAATTCCACGCTACCAAAATTTGATGAAATATATAATCGATGTTGCGCGATTCGAATAAGAGATCCAATAATATGAAAATATAATATTATAATATTTTTGAAATATAATATGAATTTGATAAATGCAAAAGTGCATATGAAACGGCAGAAAAAAAAATATTTAGGAATATCGATGATAATTCTAATTGATTCAAATTCAAATAATATAGATATGGATTTTATATCTAAATATATATATATTCATACGATATAGGTCCTTCTAAAGACGATGAATTATATCTTCTTAAATATTAAATAATATAATTGAATTTTATGATATTGGATTATTAATGAAATATATATCTTCGATTGATTTAAAATAAACTATTAATATTGAACCCTGGTGATTATATCGTATTAATATATTGTCTCGGAAGACATCCCAAAAGGAAAGGGAAGAATCGAATTAATCAATGGGATCAATCAAATAGATTATTATATCCTCGAATAAATAGAATTGGTATTCTATTAATTCATTAAATTATTCTAATTATTCGGTCAAATGGAAATAAACGAATGAATTGAAAGGGGCGAATATCTAAATTGCTAAATTTTTATAATTATCCATCAATTTCGGGTTCTTTTCGGCCAGGGAAATATTTATATTGGTCTGGTTGTTTCGGCTAATATGGACGAAGAATTTATCCTTATCGATATTATATTTGAAGGATTAAGTTAAATCTATTCAATTCAAATCATGATATATTGATTTTGAATGATATGATTCTGATCCAATATTGAATATTTTTATGCCTGCAGATTTATGTTTGATTTTCATTGGTTATTATGTGGATTATTGAAGCCATATGCCAACACGAATCATTCAGAATCAAGATCTAGGATGGTTTTGATTTGGCTTTGGGTCAAAACAGAAATACCTCGGTTGACCACCAGGAATGAACAGAATAGACTACCTGGAAGTCAACCTACCCTGGTTTGGGGCTCGGGGTTTTGACCCGCAGCCATTTGTGCCGCTACAGAACGATTCAATTAATAGTAAAATTAATGAAGGTATGAAGAAAAGATATCAATTTCATTTCAATATAGAAGAAATAATTAATATAATAATATGTTTCCTAGAATATTTTTATTAATGATGATATTTTAGAAAAGAAAACCGATGTTATTGAATGAATATATTTCAACAATTCGGTTTGAATTATTTGATAGATGAATCATCATCATTGATAATTTAATATGTTCGATCAAAAAAATCAATAGAATTCATTCAGAATATAGAATCATTAATTTGAGGTGGATAACCGTTGTTGGCGAATCAATTTCAATCCATTCAATAGAATTAATTTGGAAATTTGATTTATTTATTTCAGGTGGTCGTTATTGCCGAGCTCCCATCTTCAATAAATTCCGCTAAATGGAGCGGATTCGGATTCTTGAATCTAATTGTCAATTTTGGGTGGCTAGGCATCATTGGAAGAATTCGATCCAATTATTTTATAAGGAGAAGATGATTTGCCCTCTCTTTAGGTGCTTAACCGTCGTTAACAAATTATATAAAAAGAAGACAATAAATAAATCAAATATAACTATGAATTAATCCATATATATAAAACCTCTATCTGTCCTTTGATGGCTAACTATAGAAGGCGAGGACAAATTATCATTTTCTTATAGATTTTTTTCTATATCCAAATTTGATGGTCCAAAATTGAATATATTGATAATTTAATTGGTTCAGATAAATTGTAAAGATTATATCGATATTAAATATGGATCCAAATATATATGTGATATTATCTATTTCTCTTATTCAAAGAAATATATCAAAATTTTGATTTTAGGAAATATGTTTATTCAATTAATTTCATAATTAGTAAAATATATAAATTGGAAATATACAATAAATATATATAAATAAATATTATATTAAATGCAAAATCAAATATAAAATACATATAATAATTATAATTAATAATTAAATATAGATAATTCAATGCAAATAATATTATAAATAAATATTCAATATAGAAAAAATATAAAATCATAATTTAATCTAAAACCATCAAATTTGGAAATATTTACGTATTACGGCCATAATTATATATATTATTTTAAAATATATTGATTAATAATTACCTATATATATATATTCCTTATTTATATATCTAAAAATATTTTTAAATAAATATATATCTATATATATATATTCAATATAGTTCAAGTGTCATTTCCAATTCAAGTGTCCGCGGCCGTGTCCGGGGGCCAACTGCCATGGATTTGTGGTTTTCCTTCCATAGATTGGAATGTGGTTCCTTCCGATTTTCACCATAGCTGCTTTGATCCATCAGATGTCCCTAGAACTGGATCTCCCGGTCCCAAGTCCGGGAGGCTTGAATCCCAGTGCACCACCCTTTGTACCACAAGGATTCGAGCCTGGCGTGAGGGTTGCCAACCTTTCTTCACGGGTTGGCGAAAGTGCAATGCACTCCCATGCACCTACCAAGACATGCACGAAAGCCAGTGAAGTCTGGGCGATGTTTGGCTACGGCCAGTTGGTGCACCAGTCTCGAATACGGCGTATCAAACGTTCATTTCGCAGGGCATGCAAACGTGCATTACAAGCTGGACACACAAGCTACCATGGCAGATGCTTCACAGAATCCGATGTGCCATTTCGTTTGCGAGGTCCTTTGAAGGCTGAAATCCAGAGGTCAACACTGCAACCTCCGACTCGACCGGCAAAACAATCTGGAGTTGTTCTGAAGATTCTCTCCTGGAATGCCACACGAAGCTTGAGTTACCATGAATGGTTAGCCTGGGCCACGGGCCGACCTGAAGATATACTCTTGATTCAAGAATCCAACTGGAAGTTCAATGGACAATGGGAAATTGAACATTGGTATTGCATTCACTCTCAAGAGGCCGCCGCAAGCCAGCTCATCATGGTCCGCAAAACTTTGATCCGTGCATCCATGTTGGCATATGCAGTGTTGATTCCAGGCAGA